GCAGCCACCCGCTCCGTCGCGACGCCGCCGTCCTCGGCTCGGTGCATTTCACCGATTCAGCGGCGGCACCGCGATGGCGCCCGCGGACGGGGTCGCGGGGGTCACCCTGCCGACGACGCCCGGCGCCACGCGGCCCTCAGTGGGCCAGATGACCGGTGGAGGCGGTCGAAATCCCAAACGCGTTTCGAGCACCCGAGTCGCTAAATGGGACTCGAACCGAACGTGTGACCCCACCAATGGATTGCCCTCCGAACGAGGAATCCATTGGTGGGGTCACACGCTCGGTTCGAGTCTTGTCTAGCGACTCTGGAGCTCAAAACGCGTCTGGAGCTTTGGCCGCCGGCGCCGGTTATCTGGCTCACGGCGCCCGGACCGGATCAGCCAGCGTAGGCACTTTGCAGTGGGGAGACGGCCCCCGAAGTGCACGCCTCGGGCCTCGGAGGCCCTGCCGTGGGGAGGGCACTGCGGGGACCGGCGGGGACCGGAAGCACGGCGACGACGAGCACGGCGACAAGCACCTTCGGCCGTCGATACTCCACAACTTAATGAATTCCCGACACGTCGGGTCGGTAATCCCGCGCGTGACGCGCCGCCCCGCCCCGCCCCGCCCCGCTGCGAGGCGTGATGGCTAGCGACCCGGCCGGCCATATCGTCCAGCGGCCCAGACCCCATCAGCCGGCCATGAGCCCCTCGGGGGCCGGCAGCCCTGCCGGCCAGCCTGCCCGGCCTGGCGCAAACAGCAATTTGCTCAATGTCCACCGCCGAATATGGTTATCAAGTAACCTGGTAGGCCAGCCGAGGTGCTGCCGGCGGAGAGGCCGAGGCCCCACCGGCGGGGGAGTGGTGGGGGAGGGGGGCTGCCCCTCCCCCCCAGTCCGCCCTGCACCAGGCGGCGGCGTTGCAACATCTGGCGAGCAGCGCGTCGAGCGGCCACCGAGCCCAGCCGGGCCGGGCGAAAAGGGCCGAGCCGAGCCGAGCCGGTCCGGCGTGCCTCAGTCCTGCTGCCCGGAGTGAGTGGCCTGAGCCAGAGCCTGGCCAGGCCCGAGCCTGCTCCGCGGCGTTGCCAGCCTGCCTGCCAGCCCCGGCTGGGCGGCCTCCTCATTGTTTTATCCCTCTTTCGATCATCTCCATGCTGAGCCAGCCGGCCACTGCCTTTGTCCGGGCACCGTGTGCCGTGGTGTGCCGGGGCCGGTAGCGAGAGGGAGAGAGAGGGGGCGAGAGCCCGCGGGAGCGAGAGAGAGGGACAGGGGCCGCGGACGTAAACATTCAGCGGGACACAATGCTAATGGATGCCATCCAGTCACTGCCATCGAGTCACTGCCAGTGCCGTGGCCCGTCCGGCCCGTCCGGCCCGTCGTCCGGCCCGTCGTCCGGGGCGCTGACGGACGTTTCCCAGAAGCAGGCCGATTCCTTTTCATTTTGGCTTCGAAGTCCTGCGACGACAGTGTGCCGGAGGCCTGCCTGCGACAGTGTGCCGGAGTCCTGCCTGCGACTGTCTGCGCGCCGCCGAGTCGGCATGGTGCGCGCCGCCAGCGAGCAGTCCCGTGAGGGGGCGGCCGCTAAGGACAGCCGTCACGACGCTCATGACGGCCTGGAGAAGCGCCGCGACGCGCCGCGACGCCGGGGCATTGCCACACACTTACGTCAGTGCCGCCCTCGCCGCCAACGCGGTGCTCGCCGCTCGCGCGTCGCGCTTGCAAAACGCACTCGCCGTAAATCAACGCCAGTAAGACATCATCTTCGTCCTCGCCTAGGAGAGCGGCAACCCGGGGCAACCCCCACCCCTTTCCTTATCACACGGTCCTGCCAACTGTCCGGGACGAAAAAAATTGAAACAGCCGCACAAAAAACTGACCCAGTAGGTCTGGTCTGCGCGAGAGGGGCGTGCGCACGCCGCGCACCTTTGGCGAGGCAGGTGAGGCGAGGTGTCTGTCGGACGCGCCTCGCCCCGCCCCGCCCCGCCCCGCCTCGCCACGCCTCGCCACGCCCCTCCGGCCGCCATCATTGGCGTAATTATCACGCCTGGGGATACTGGCCCGGCCCGGCCCCGCCCCGCCCCGCCACAGTCCACGCAGCCGCCACGCACGGCCGTATGCAAAGAGCGTCCAATGTTTATGGCGTTCGATTCCTTCCTGGGATTCCAATCGATTAAAACGACGGCAAAGGGAAAAAAGGAGGATCGAAATCGCAGCGCGCGCTCTCTCTCTCTCTCTCCCTCCTCTCACACACACACACACACACACACACACACACACGAGCGCGCTCTCACACAAAGGGCGCTGGCATCGCGACGGCGAAGTTGGGCGCCAAACTGTGTGTCAAGTGCGGGCCTTGAAAAGCCTTCCAGCCTTCCCCTCGCCAATCCCCGTGCAAACAGGCCAAACGCCGTTTCGTCGCTCTGTCTCTCTCGCACTCGTGGGGCTCTCCGTAAGGGTGCGAGAGAGACGGAGCGATCCTCCGAATCGCTCGGCTGATCCGCGTCTCCTCCCTGTCCGACAGTGCCGTGCCGCCGTGCCTCGCGTCAGGTGTGCCTGCCGGACGGCGTCAGCGTCCTCTGTTTCCTCGGCCAAAGCCCGACGCCGACGCTACCACACCAGCGCCCAGCCCCGGCCGAAGCCTCTCCCTTCCCACGGCCGAGGCTGTGTTTGCGGACGATAACAGATACAAACCTGGCCGCCCGCTCGCACCCCGCAACCCCTCAGAAACGAGCAGCGGCGCCCGCGTGTGCGCGTGTGTGTGTGTGTGTGTGTGATATGCCAAAGGCGGTCACACCTCGGCTGGCCTGCACCGAAATCCCCTCGCTGCGAGCGTGGCGACAATTTTTTTCATCCGTTCGTTCAAACCGCCCCGCCCGCTCCGCCTCTCCCCGATGTCCCCTTTGAGGACGTCCAGCGCGACCAGCCCGTCCAGTGTGCCCTTATTCGGTGGCCAGGCCGGCGGCGGCGGCGGCGCGGTGGCCGCCACACTGTGCCGCCACCAGGGCGCCGTCAGCCCGTCACGACGCCGTCACGACGCCGTCACCCGGGACGCCATCCAGGCCAACGCCGCCGTCATATCGGCCATCGGAGAGATCGAGCAGCCTCTCTCACTCGCACTCACGGCGCGGCCCGTACCGGCGCGAGAGAGACAGAGCGACGAATCGGCCGCCGTTCGTCACAGCTCCGATCCATCGTGTTTACCGACGGCGGGGCCGTACGGGCACCAGGCTGCCAGCAGCCGTGGGCGGATTCCCCCCCCCCCCGGTCTGGAAATTCATCACGGCCAGCGTTTTGACCGTCTCCGCTGCGATCCGTATCAGGAACAAGGGCTCATCTTTCAGACACGAGCCTCGACGCCCCCGGCGGGGCTGGCAGTGCCGGGCTGTGCCCTACGCCTCGCGCGCCGCGACGAGGAAAGCGAAAATCATTTCCCGCGTATTTGGAGCCCCGATCCGCGCCGCGCCCCACGCGCCCCCTACACTTTTCCGTCCTTTTTACATAATCAATATTCCCTCCGTCGGGATCCCCGAGTGCAGTCAGGCAGAGACGAATCCACGGATGGCTCCGGAAATGAAAGTCCGGCACCGGAGAAATCTGCGATGCAGCAGCCAGCCAGCCAGCCAGCCAGCCAGCCAGCCCCGGGCAGAGTGGCTGTCGTCGCTCTGTCTCTCTCGCACTCCCGGGGCGCCCCGTACAGGTGCGAGAGAGACAGAGCGACGGCTCTCGTCTGCAGGCAGCTAGGAGCGAAAAAGTCGCGCCAAATTGATCACGGCAGCGAGCGAGCAAATGAACGTCGTGTCCATTTGGTCCCCGAAGCGAGCCAGAGAGCGAGGCCCGCCCGGAAGCGCGCCAGCGCGCCAGCGAGAGCGGGCATCAAAGTCGAAAGAGAGCAGCAGGGAACTGCAAGCGAAACGAGTACGGAAAAGCGGAAATGTACCGGGGCGGATGAAAAATACTCGACATTACTACACTGTGGAGTGCGCTCGTCGTCACCAGTCCGCGTTTTAAGAACTCTAATCCGAGCAGGGCGATCTGGGACATTGGTGACGCCACCGGGGCCACCAGTGGGCCACCATGGGGCCACCATGGGGCACCGGCCGGCGGGGAATGGCGGATGGATTGCTTATCTCGAACCCATACCTCTGTCTGAGTTGGCTCCGGTCGAGGTGAGGGGGCACGCGGGGCCCGGGGGCCCGGAGGGGCATGGGGGCCCCGGAGGGGGGCTCGGCCACCAAAAGCGTCAGATATCCGGCGAGTTGGCCGTGGCATCCCAATAAAGCAACCGACCAACCCCCTCCCCCTTACCTAAACATTCTGAAAGCCAAACAGGCGAGTCACTCTCTCGTATCGCCTGCTGTTGCTCGGGCTGGCCGTGGCCTGGCAGTGGCCTGGCCTGCCTGCAGGCCGTTATCCTCCCTCTTTTACTTCGATTCTTCTTAATTTTTTAACAAAGAAGAAATTAAGAAGAGACTATGAAGGAACCAAGAAGGATCTTAGAAGAAATTAAAAAGAAATTAAGAAGAAATTAAGAAAAAGAAATTATGGGGAAGAAATTCTTCTTAGTTTCCTCTTTCCTCTTCTCAATTTCCTTTCAGTTTATTCTTCATTCCTCTTGCACTTCTTCTCCTCCTTTTCCCCTACACCGTGACGGCCACGCTAACGCAGTAATAACGTGCGCCAATCATGACTCAATTTCGGGCAAAAAGAAGTGACTCACCCCGCCTCACCCCGCCCCGCCCAGCCATGTGTTTATTAAAGCCATACACGGGTCAAATATGAGCGACCATTAGCGACAGCGCTGCCAACCCCGTCATCAGCGTCCAGCCCGGCCGTCGCCGGCCAGCGCGCTGAAAACGCGCTCACCGCGCCGCTAAATTCAATTTCACTTCTACTCCACTTTTTTGCCGTCGCGCACTTGAAACCCGACCGCGGGGCCGAGCTGCCCAGCTTCCACTCCACCACTAAAACCCGTCAATATCCCCGCTGAGGGGTGACTAACGCCGCCAAATTGAAAACACTTACCGAGATTCCGAGCCAGGGCCGCTCCGGGCGAGCTCAAGCCCAGCAGCAGCAGCAGCAGTGCCGTGAGCGCGGGGCCGAGGGGGCCGAGCGGGCCGAGGCGGCGGGGCCGGAGCCGCGGGGGCAGGGGCAGCAGGGGCACCCCGAACAGACCCCCGCGGGGCGCCCTCCGCGTCCGCTGCGTCCGCTCGGGCGGCGCCCCCCAACCGGACGGCCGCTCCATGCGGCTAGCTGCAACAGAGAGAGACACCAACATCAACACACCGGACTTGCACACGGACCTCCACACGGCGGACCGACCGGCCGGCCGACCGATCCAGGCGGAATATGACAATCGGGAGGCAATCTGATACTGCAGCATCCACAAACAACAACATCAACCTGCAACAGCAGCGACAACAACAACACGAGGTGTCATGTCGCAGGGCGATAAATACGTCGCGCGACGCCGTTCTAGAGCCTTTACACACACACTGTGAGTCTGTGTGTGTACGGAATGTGCATGTGTGCGCGGGGCGTTCGTTCGTTCCATCCCCGTTTCAAATTGCGTCCGCCGCGATGGGACCCCTGGCTTGGCTGGCCAGGCTGCTGGCCTCTGGCAAGGCGGGGCGCCGCAGGCTGGCCGCAGGAGGCGGGCCGCAGGGGCAGGACGCGAGAAATGTGCTTCACGTCGCGTTTTCGCCCACAAAGTGCGCCATTTGGCTCCAAGGACCCCGCCAGCCCCAGGGCGGCTCGGGACGGGACGACGGCGGCGTGCGCCAGCGTGCCAGCCTGCCGGGGGCTCTAGGTCTTTCCGTGTACAGCGATCACGGCACGCAAAAGAGGCCGAGCGAGCGAGCGAGCGAGAGAGAGAGAGAGAGAGAGAGAGGGGAGACGAGACGAGACGAGAGAGAGAGAGAGAGAGAGAGACAGAGAGAGAGAGAGAGAGAGAGAGAGAGAGAGAGAGAGAGAGAGAGAGAGAGAGAGAGAGAGAGGCGGGGGATGAGCAGGCGAGAGGGGCTAGAGCGACTCCCGGGGTGATGCTGACAGCAGCATAAAGGAGTGTTCGGGGGCTGGCTGGCTCGCCGTACCGCTGAGGACAGCACATCCCGCTCTTCTTGCGCCGTGCCGTGCCGTGCCGTGCCTTGCCGTGCCACGCCACGCACGCCCGTGCCCTGCACGGCCCATGGTAATTAGGTCCAATCCCACCTGAGGCTTGCGGCAGTGTGCTGCTGAGGCAGGCAGGCAGGCAGGCAGGCGGTTCACTGCAAGCCCGAGCAGCGTCAGACGTGTGTCGTGCGCGGGCTGCCGCTGCCTCCTTCCGGGTCACGGAACAACTCCGAACTCGCCGCGGTGGTGGCGGCGGTGGTGGTGGCCGCGCGCGAGCAGACTCGCTCAGCAGATAAAATCGCTCCCCGATGGGCCGGCGGCCGGCGGGCCGGGCGGGTGGAGGTTCAGAAACACCTCCGAGTGCGCGGCGCTGTTGACGGCGGCGAGAAATATCGCACACGTTCGCCTTGGCCACGCCCCGCCACGCCACCAAGGCCCTGCCGCAGATCATGCCCTTCGACCACACAGTAAACCACCCGCAGCTGTTCTCCAAGCGCTCGGCGCTCCACGACTCCCTGGAGGAGGTGGTGGAGGTGGCGGCGGTGGAGTGGCGGCGGTGGAGGCGGCGGTGCCGGGCGGCGAACCCTTTCCCGAAAAGGCTCACGTACTCCGTATGGATGGCAGACTCCCTCGCCACGGCCCCCCAGCGTACTTTTCCCCGACGGTCTCGGCCGAGGTCGGCGCGCTGCTCGGCGCGCTGGTCGACGCGGAGGTGCATCGCGGTTCCTCGCGTCCACATGCATCACGGGCATCCCCCCTTTTTATGCGAACGCTATGCGGAATTACCTGGGCCTCCTGCTCTGCCCGGCTCGGTGCGTGCTCTGGCCTCGGCTCTGGCCGTCGAGGCCGACTCCGAACGCGGTCGCGGTGTCTCTCTCGCACTCACGGGGCGTCCCGTCGGGGTGCGCGGGCTCGCGATGTGTGCGGCGGCTCACAGTGGGCCAGAAGGCCGGTGGAGGCGGCCAAAACTCTAGACGCGTTTTGAGCTCCAGAGTCGCTAAATGGGACTCGAACCAAACGTGTGACCCCACCAATGGATTCCTCGTTCGGAGAGCAATCCATTGGTGGGGTTCGAGTCCCATTTAGCGACTCTGGAGCTCAGAACGCGTCTAGAGTTTTGGCCGCCTCCACCGGTCTTCTGGCCCACTGTGCGGCCGGCCTCCGCCATCACTACCCCGATTTGCGAGTCGACCGCGCGCCGCGCCCCGGGCCACGCGGGGCGGGCAGGTCGCCGCCATTTCAAAGCACACATTTCCTTCGCATTGCGCGATTCGGTGCCCGCGGCCCCGCGCGGCCCCGCTATATATAGCCGGGGGACTAGACGGGCGGACGGACGGACGGGCAGGGATGCTCGGCAGGGCGGAGCGGGTCTCCACCGTGTCAAGGCGACGTGGGGGCGCTCCACTCGAGCGTGGCGGCGCCGTCCGCGAACCACGTAACACCGCGACCCAGTCGCTTCGTCACTCTGTCTCCGTCGCACCTGTGCGAGCCGCCCGGCGAGTGCGAGAGAGACGGAGCGACCAAACGACTCTCCGGAACGGCTCGGAAGGGCCCTGGGCCCCTGCTCGTCTCTTTGCTTTACCCATCCTTTCGACAAACAGGTTTCTTTCAACCGCGAAGTTGGTACAGAGTGAGAGAGAGAGTGAGAGAGAGAGAGAGAGAGAGAGAGAGAGAGAGAGAGAGAGAGAGAGAAGAGAGAGGGAGAGAGAGAAAGAGACTGCAGCTCCTGCTGGTCGCTCGTCTGGAAGAGGAACGGAGTCCTCGCAGACAAACAGACCAGATTGTTCCTGGACGCGGAGGAGGCCGTCAGGAGGCCCACCGGTGACTCCAAATTAAACTCGACTGCCGAATGTATAAAGAGCCAGGCAGGGCGGATCCAGGGTGCGAGAGAGACAGACAACCGCGCCACTCGCTAACCCCGCGGCCGGCGGTCGACATGACGAGCAGTGCGACTGGCCACAACACGGGTGAGCTACATTACATTCCTCGATTCTCGGCAACGCCGATTCGTGTCACCGCTTCCAGGCAGCCAGGCAGGCAGCCAGGCAGGGAGCAGCGCGTCAAGCCGATCCAGAGGTCATCCATAATCGCCCCTCTCCCCTTTCCCTGCCGGAATGATTGTCCGGCCGAGCCAGTTCAAAGTGTTTCAATCAACCGCCCCAATCGTAACGCCGTAACGCTCAATGGAGCGGCGGAACAGATGTAGCCGACGGTAATTACTACGTGGCGGCCGCCTCATCACCGCCGGCCGTCCTCTCTCTCTCGCACTCTCTCGGGGCGCGCCGCGGGTGCGAGAGAGAGGGACGCACCGCCGGCAACAACAGCAGCCTGCACGATAATAAGAAGACCGCCATCCACCCCGGCCGTCCCGTCCCGGCCGTGCTGTGAGGCCGCGACACCACCCGGGCGGTCCGCTCCGCACACCTTGCGGCCTGTCTGTCTGTCTGTCTGCCTGTCTGTCCGTCCGTCCGCCCGTCCGCCTTCTGCCCGGGGCGAGGCGATACCTCGGCCAAACCCCACGTCAATTAGGAATCATCTCCGGCAGAGATGAAGTCATTTCCCCGCCTCCCCGCGCGGGGCCCCGTCCAGGACCCCGGCCGGAAACACTAGGACGGCCAGCCGGCCGCTCTAGAGGCCCAGGGCGCCGGGGGCGAGCCGGGGGCGCCGAGGGCGCGCGGGACTCGCTGCTCAAGGCCCTCGAGCCCCTCAAGGGCTCGGCCGGGCCATAGCCCATTCAGCAGCAGGGGATCTCATAGATCTCGGGGAATCGCCAGCAGACGACTGCTGCTCTGGATGGCGGCCACGGTCCGGGCCGGGCCACGGCCACCCCGGCCGGGATCAAACATTTGCTCGAGTGGGGCCACGGGCCGTGGGCCAGGCCGGGGCCAGGCGGCCAGGCCAGGCCGTGGCCTGCAAGCTGTCACCCCCAGCCCGGCCACTATAGGTAAGGGGTGCAGGCCGCCGAGTGGACTGGGTCGGAACGGCACGCCGGGGCGGAGGGGGAGGGGAGGGGAGACCGGAACGGGATGGGCGAAGCGGCGCAGCGCGGCACTCCGGAGCGACACCTTGGACCCGCTGAACCGCGCAAATTGCCGTTCGGATATGGAACGAGAGCGAGACCACCCATCAAAGCCAAATCCCCCACCTGAATTATGTCGCAGAGTCTGCCGCTGAATACAAATTAGAACCTGCGCGCCGCCTCGCCGCCACCTCACCTCGCCCCGCCCCGCCCCGCCCCGCCCCGCCCCGAGCAACAACGGGTTTCATAACCCCGCCGGCCGCACTTCCCTCGGCCCGCCCGGCCCCGCCGTCTAATGCTGATATTTTCGCCCCACGCGACAAAAAGATCCGTCAGATTGCGTCAGTTTCCTATCCGAGCAAGCGCGGCGCCTGGCCACCCACCCACCACTGCCACGCCAGGCCACGCCGCGGGCCAGGCCAAGACCCGCACGGCGCAGCGGCACGCCAGCCGGGGATAGTAGAGGCGAGCGCACTCGGAGTCAAATCCGCAACCTTCAATTCAAAACCCAACTACCTCGCGCTCACGCGCAAGCACGCACGCGCGCGCGATGGCCGATCGATACTGTACAGTCTCGCAACGCGTTTCCAATCGAATAGTATCGATACCATTGCGGCAACGCTACGCCCGTTTTTATTTCGGCACGTTGCATCAGAGGTGGGCCGCTCCGTGTGTGTGTGTGTGTGAGTGTATGAGTGGCTGTGTGTTCGTGAGCGCCGTGTGTGCTTTGCCCCGGGCTGCCCCCTGCGGTATGGCCGTTCAATCGGCCACACAGTGTGCCACACACGCACACGGGCAACAGGTACGTACCCACGCCCGCAAACAACACACGCCGCCGAGGACCACGGCGACGCACTCCGCGATGAGGTCCAGGACGACGACAGGTGGGTGGGTGGCCAGCCTTACACAAGCGGCGCGGCGTGGGTGTCGCGGAAGAGGCTGCCGTCAACACGCGCATACACCGGCCGAGGAATGAATCGCTGA